GTCTAACCTTTGATGGAAAAAAATATATTTGATGGTGATCGTAAAGGCATGTCCGCATACCCATGCGATGAATCAGTTTTATGGGTTTTGACAAGGATAGAGGTCGGTGATCTTGATGCACATCATCTGCCCATCAGCCAGTGCGTCATAAACATCAAACGCAGCGCAGAAGAACCTGCCCTTGAGGATATACCATGAGTTGCTGAAGAGTTTGGGTGCAACCGAAAGCAATTACTTTTTTAAATGATGAAGACAAAAGATTCAATGTGTTAGTTTAATGTGCCTTTCTCCTTGGTCGTTGTGTTTTGCATTGATCCACCGTGCTTGATTTAACCGGATAATGACATGCATGCATGTTGTCAGTGTCACGCATGTTGATCCACCACGCATGAATAAATAAACTTGACTCGTTCCTGGAAGATTCTACTAGCTGTTTGGCACATCACATCAGGACGGCAGCTTGTTTCCATTCCCCGAATCCGCAACCAGTTTGGCTGACACCGATACGATGCCAGATCAGATGCAAAGGTCAGAGCAGAATATCCTAGAGATGGCGGCGTACGTCGCATGTCTACTCTACTAGGAGAGCACTGCTTCCAGGAAGGAAGACCACGGCAAGTCGTTGTCGACAAAAGAAATCTGACCATGGGTCGGCCGGAATAAACATTACGAAAAAATAGGCATGGTCGTCTTTTTTTTTTTGACGGGAAAATAGGTCCGGTCGTCAGTTTGAATTTAGAGCAAAGAGATTCTATTTTCGTCCCTTCCGAAGAAACGTCAGCCAGTATATACTACAATATCTGTCTAACAAATACTTTCTTCGTCACATAATATAAAAACATCTAGTGTAAACAATATTTTTATATTATGCGATGGAGGAAGTAATTTTCTCCACCTAATCATATATAGTACACCCTCGTCAAAATCAACGAATGCTCCCCTGCTAGTGCAGAAATTGACGGAGGAGTGGTCCTCACCTCACATAATCTATATAGTCTCACCTCTCTTTTTGATGAAGACGGCTTCCAACGCTTTTTTGACGATATCCAAACGCGGACAAGTTAACGAGGGCTGATGGTCGCAGTCTAGGAAAATTCGAGCGACACAACTGCACACGATGACTCTATCTTGTTTCCTTTAGCGAGCGCGTTCAGCCGAGCCATAACCAATTGGCTCGTGTTATTAGGTATGGCAGGCGCATCCATTTGGCACGGTATAATATTGAACACGGTTTTGTTGATTCCCAGTCGTCTTAGAATTTCTTAGTTCTCGGTCCACATCGTGGACTGTGTTTGATCATGGTGTAATTCAATTTTTTTGAAACAGAAGCAAAAGCTTTGCCTCATCCATTAATTAAGATAGAAAAGAGTTTATTACAAGACATCCAAAAAAATACGGCATGCGGATTACTCGCATGAAATAAAAGACCCTAACTTCTTTGCACCGGCGACAACCCAAAGGTTGGCCTCGGTAGCAATGGAGGAGAGCAATATTGGCGATGGAGCACTCTTATGTTTGAACACTCTTGCATTACGCTCGTTTCAAATTGTTCATGAGACGAGCATGGTGAGGGAGGCCTTGGCTTGGCGGTTCGGCGTGCCATCAGGCAGAGGTGCTTGCCCACCACTCCTCCACCGAGTCGAACAAGGACCAAGCGGAAGTGTCAAGCCCATGCATGTAGAATTTCTCAATGACCAAAGACCAAAGATGCCGGGTGTAGCGGCACTTGTAGAAGAGATGAGGTCCGCATTCTTGCACCGTCTTGCAGGGATCGCAGTTTGGCCACCCACGCTTTGCCAATCTATCCGCCGTCCAAATTCTTTTTTGAAGGGCCAACCAAGCAAAAAAATTGACTTTGGGGGGTGCCCAAACCTTCCAAACCATTTTGTCCAAGGGAGAAATAAGGACCGTCCCTAGGAACTGTGCCCTGTACGCAGAGGCCGCCGAGTATTGTCCACAGGTCGTGTGTTTCCAAAGGATATCATCTTCTGTGATCTCGTCTAGATGGACCTCATTTAGTATCATCCATAGAGCGAAGAATTGCATGATGTGCTCAACGGAAACGTTAGGAGGGGGGGGGGTTGATCTTGAGAATCCAAGCGTTGTGCTTCAGAGCCTCCCTCACCTTCTAATTCCTTCTCTTGAAAGCTTCATAGATGAGCGGGGCAATGTCTTTAGGCTTTCGCCCAAGAAGCCAAGGGGGGTCCCAAAAGGGTGTCCTCGCACCGTTACCAACGGTGATGGTGGTGGAAGCATAGAAAAAGTTGAGGTCCTCCTCGTTACATGGATTTGCCATTCCCACCCACATCTTGGTGGACTCCTTCCATTCCTACCACGGCCATCGCAAACGGAGAGCCCTCGTAAACATGTCTGTGTTGAGGACCCCGAGTCCTCCGTATTTTACAACTGTTTCGGTTGGTTATCTGCCCAAATGGATTGTTCCTCCAGATGGCTGGGTTAAACACTAACGAATCTTGGTCATGAGATGGAGGCCCGGAGCTGGAATGGTTCTTCGAGACAACACAAGCACTATTATCTCTCTTCATGAATGGATCTGTTTTCTTGTACAGACGCGATGGAAGTTGGGCTTTGTGCCTATATATATGGAGGGTCTCTCCTTATAGCGAACATATCTTCCTATTTTGCTGAAAATAGACTCATCTGTGGTGAACATTCTCAAGGACTCAGTTTCTATTGCAGCACATGTACGGATGTTCGGTGAAACTGCAAAAATGTCCTACATTAAGATTTTTGAACTGCAAAAACGTTCCACATTTAGTTACAAAGGGAGTAGTTAGTTTCAAGTTGACTAAGATATACACTCCAGACTAAACAAGACGTCAATAGAATAGCTACGGACCTTTTAACCCAACACCATGTGGACTCCAGTCTTCCAGAAGAACTACGCATGCAGATGCACCATGTTTCGTTAGTTAGTTTCACCGAACATCCGTACATGTGTTGCAACACTAGACGTGGTTATCCCATCTTTGTCATTACCAAAACGAATGGCTAGGACGAAGCGAAATGCAATCTGATCGGCTGGACTGGACCCTTTCTTCCCCTTTGGATAGCCATCGGTCAAATTAAAGTCCTTTTGTTTCCGACCAAGAGGCGGATGGGTAAAAAGGTTGTGTGAACATCGAATGCATGATGTAAAGGCCCCACACACGTACATCATCACTTATGTTTCGTCTGCTAGTTAAAAAGTGAAATCACCGAACTTTAACATTAACATAATCAAGAAAAATGGATTGTTATCGACACGATAATTTGACTAGCATGCTTCGGCATTGATTATCAGTGGAGACCACTTGCAATATTTCTTTAACCTTTGTGTCCAAGCAAAGTAAAGTCTGAGACAAAGTTTCTAATACTAAAGTTGAGGAGTGGTCCTTGTAACTGAATACCTTATCGTTTCTCTAGTCCCAAATCTTTCATACTCCCTCCATTTTTGTATATAAGGCCACAAACTCATATTGCAGGTACCAAAGCAAAAGTTAATGTCTTCTAAGTCAATGTTGCAAGGCAGTTTATCTCCTTGTTTGTCGTGTAAATTAATGTGTATTCTTCTTTTTCATGCACATCAAGCCAATGCTCTCACTCCCGCATGCATGCAAGGGGTAGTTAATGTCCTCCTTTACTAGTACTATGAGGCAAACACCATTAATATTGCATCGATTGATGTTAGTGGCCTTATATATCTGCAAATTGTTATTTTGATAGTGGCCTTGTATATAAAAATGGAGGGAGTATAAACAACAGTGCCACCGAGAGCTAGTTATCATTGTCGAGGCTTAGGGAAGTGGAGATAGGGGGGGGGGGGCACGGGAGTCAAAGGTTGATCCAAACCTTGGGCACAAGGGCCATTATTTGCATGTTGACAATCCTAATACCATGTGTTCATGATTTTGTTTCACCTTTTTTATAAAAATAACCGAATTCAGGTTTGAAGGGTAATTTCATATTCCCATGTACTCAAGAACATGAAACAGTTTTTGTGTTTGGAGAAAATAGGCTGAAATTAGTCATAACCAATACTTTTGTAAGGCACTAAATACGCTTTCTACCTACCTCTCTCTAAAAAGGCTTATGAGGATTTCCAAACTTTGAATCTTTTCCTACAAGATTTAGTGCTTAATGTTAACCTGCACAGCTGGCAATTCCCCTCGGGAGCAAATCTATATAATGTGTCTAGTGGACGAGAGGGGCTTTTTAGCACCTAGGAGCATATGCTCCTGGTTTTTAAAATGTGTTTTAAACGTATTTTAAAATGTCACAACATTCTGACAAAATGTTTCACGCGTACATCTCGACATTCTACGTAGTCACAAAGTTTTTGAGGCATGGAGCAACTCTTTCAGATAATTGTATCCTTCAAGATTGGGCTCAGTGGAACCGAGATCTTCCCGGGCGCTGCCATGGTGTTGTTCTTACTGTTGATGTATCTTTGTTAATTACTCCCTTCATCCCATAATGTAGGACGTTTTGTGACACTATTATGGGATGGAGGGACTAGTTTCTTAATTAGTTTCTTTTTGCTAACTTTTATGTAGTCTTTATTTTCGTTGTGCACTTTTTTGCGCTTTTATAAAACCCTTGCTTGTATCATTTAATAATTAATAAAATATCCCTAAAAAATATGTAACAGAGTCCCGCAGTTTCCCTCAAAAAACAAAATACACTTCCATTTTTTTAAGCCGGCCCATCTTAAACCGTTTTAGGATAATTATGTAATTATTAATTCAGTGATTTTGTAGTTTAGTGTTCAAGTCGGATCAAACAGTAGCTAAGATACGGTATATTGGTGTATAATCGAATTTGTTTGATCCAAAGAATCATGTCAATTGTACATGGAAACATCTGTGTACATACTGTAGCACTACAATCCTCAAAAAGAAAAAAGAGAACACATTGTTTTTTATGCTCACACTCTCAATAAATGAACTAATGTATGTGCCTCACTCCCTGTTTCTTCGACTAATTCACAGTTAGGCCACCTACTCCAGGGAGTAGCAACATTCTTTGAACACTTCGAGGTTCTCTTGGAATAAGGGTACGAAGGCATCGACGCTGCCGTCGCCGAAGTTGGACGGCGCGAGGAAAAGCATCCCCTCCGTGGGGAAGTAGGCCGGCATGAAGTATCTCGGGCTCCCCGTGCCAAAGTCCAGCTCGTAGAACGGGAACGTCAGCCAGCTGTCCACCTCCACGTCCGGGCAGTGCGCGTCCTTGCACACGGCGCTCCGCGCGAGCCCATCCTTCTCGGCGGCGCCGGAGGTGGCGAAGTCGACGAAAGATTGGAAGTAGGCGCCGTCCACCCTCGCCACCTCGTCGTGGATCACCTGTGCAGCGTGCTTCAGCGGCCGGTTCAGGAGGTCACCCACCGTGGAGCGCGGGAACGCCCAGAGCACCATGTTGCCGAAGTGCTCCGCCGGCTGGCCGAGCCGGTGCCGCCCGTCCACGGACAGCCGGATCTTGGAGGTCTCTTCGGGGCTCAGGTCGCGCGCGCGCGTCATGGTGCGCCACAGGTGGGCGAGGATGGTTTCGAACCGGCTGAACGGCCGGCCGCGCCCCTCTGACGCCTTGGCGCGCAGACCGGCGACGAAGTCCTTGGTGAAGTGCGCCTTGTGGATGACGATGTTGTCGGCGGCATCGCCGTGGTGACCGACCACGTCGGTGGGCGACGGCATATAGTACTCCCCGTTGCGGTGGTCGTGCTCCACGCGAGGCGACGAGCGTGGCTTGAATAGCTCCGCGTGGTGGTGCACTGGCGGGAGACCCATGGGGAGCCCCCTGGTGGCGCGCCCCCAGGCCACGAGAAAGTTGCTGGTGGCGTGGCCGTCGGCGACGACGTGGTTGGACGTGAACCCTACAGCGAGCGAGCCACACCGGAACCGTGTCAGCTGCAGCAGCACGACCTCCTGGTGCTCCGCCTCCAGGTCAGGATGCAGCTTGAGCAGCTCAGGCGTGGGCTTCGAGGGCGCCATGTCGACGAGGTCGGCGTCCACGGTCGCCTCAACCAGGCGCGCCCCACGGTCGTTGAGGATGACGGACGGCGTGCCGTCGGGGGACTCGCCGAGCTGCCCGGCAAAGGCGCGGTACTGGGCGAGGACCGTGGCAAGGCCCTTCTCGATGGAGGCGGTGGTGGGCGCGGGCGGCGCGAAGGCGTAGATGATGGCCATCTGCATCTCGAACGTCACCCTGTCGAAGATGGACAGTGGAATGTACTCGGTGGCCGGCATCGGCGCTTGGCCTGCACTGTAGGCAGGCTTGACGAGCTTGGAGCTCAAGACCTTGACCTCCATTGCCGAATATAGCTATTACTAACTGGTTGCTGTGCACTGAGCTTAGACCGGAGAAGTGGTTTCTCTGTGGCTAATCAAGTTTGATCCGTCGGCGAGAAAGATCAAAAGTTGGCAACAAGAGATCGAGGTTGTACGTGAAGGCTTTGCGGTCTTGTACTCTTGTGTTGTATGATTTGGTGCTTGTCCTGCTGCTATTTATAGGACGGCATTGGAAGTCTCGCGGGAAACGGTAGCCGGTAGGTGAAATGAAACTACTTGAGTCTAGTAAACCCCTTGTTAATTAGTGTAGTTGAGACTTAAGACTTGGACCCGGCCCGCCTCTAAACCATGCATGTGTTTGACTAGTGAACGGGCTGTTACCTAGAACGTGCAAATGTCACAAGTCTAAACCGTACTTCTGTTTCAGTCCTTTGCGTGCTTTACAAAACAGACCAATATGAAGTCCAGTATAGGCAATAATACAACTCATGTTATTTATTGTTTCACCTCATGGTATGTCCACAAGAAAATACTGGCTAGCCCCATATGGATGTTTGAGTTAGTGAGTTTGCTTATTTAGGGCCCCTCCAATGCTGACCCTCAAACTACTCATATCCGTCGGGGCGCAACTGTCCGAACACCGCAAGTCATCCAACACCAGCCCCCATAGGTCCTCGAAGTAGTCCGGGCCATAATTTTCCCGCAAAGTCGAACCAAACAGGGGAGGGGGGAGGGGACTTTGCTGGAATCCGAACATGAGCCACGTAAGACTCCGACACCCTTGTGGCAAAATCTCTCACTCTTTTCTTCCATCTCGCCGCTCTCCACCAAATTCCCACCCTTCCCCCCTCTCTCTTATTCCCTCCCGCCGCCAGTGCATGGATCCGGAGGAGACCTTGCTGGAGAAGAAGATGGTAGAGGATCCGAGCATCAAGCTCAAACTTGAAGGTGGCGGAGAGGTTTGACTTGTCGATGAAGGCGACCGAGAAGAAGCTCAGGCTTGAAGAGAAGAGGGCCATGATCGAAGAGAAGAACGCCGGGTTGATATTCTTTTGTGATCGGGCATGTAAATACTAAGCATACTTGCCTCTTCTTGGTTGCGATCGGCCGAGGATGTGATCCGGTGTGCGCTATGGAACCCATGTATTTGAATTTCAAATTGCCTTTTCTGGTGGACATATAGTTGCCGACTGGATGGCCGGCTGCTGCATCCGTGTCCGCGGACTGGTCTCCCCGTCAGCAGATGGATGTGGTGTCTGGTTTGTGCGTCAGCACTAGAGCATCTCCAAAGCGGGCCCTCAAAACTGCCCACAACCGTCTAGACGGCACGACACAGACGTGTCTAGCCATCCAACGCGGGCCTGGATCGATGCGCCGACCGGTCCGGACACACTTTTTCCCACAAAATCGAAACAAACTTGGGGGGCTTTGCAGGAATCCGGACAACAACCACATAAGTGAAGGAAATATGCCCTAGAGGCAATAATAAAGTTATTATTTATTTCCTTATATCATGATAAATGTTTATTATTCATGCTAGAATTGTATTAACCGAAAACTTAGTACATGTGTGAATACATAGACAAACTGAGTGTCACTAGTATGCCTCTACTTGCCTAGCTCGTTAATCAAAGATGGTTAAGTTTCCTAGCCATGGACAAGAGTTGTCATTTGATGAACGGGATCACATCATTAGAGAATGGTATGATTGACTTGACCCATTCGTTAGCTTAGCACGATGATCGTTTAGTTTGTTGCAATTGCTTTCTTCATAACTTAGTGTGCTATCAAACATCACAACGTAACTGGGTGACTATAAAGATGCTCTACAGGTGTCTCCGATCGTGTTTGTTGAGTTGGCATAGATCGAGATTAGGATTTGTCACTCCAAATATCGGAGAGGTATCTCTGGGCCCTCTCGGTAATGCACATCACTATAAGCCTTGCAAGCAATGTGACTAATGAGTTAGTTCCGGGATGATGCATTACGGAACGAGTAGAGAGACTTGCCGGTAATGAGATTGAACTAGGTATTGAGATACCGATGATCGAATCTAGGGCAAGTAACATACCGATGACAAAGGGAACAACGTATATCGTTATGCGGTTTGACCGATAAAGATCTTCCTAGAATATGTGGGAGCCAATACGAACATCCAGGTTCCGCTATTGGTTATTGACCGGAGACGTGTCTCGGTCATGTTTACATAGTTCTCGAACCCGTAGGGTCCGCACGCTTAATGTTCGGTGACGATCGGTATTATGAGTTTATGTGTTTTGATGTACCGAAGATAGTTCGAAGTCCCTGATATGATCACGGACATGACGAGGAGTCTTGAAATGGTCGAGACATAAAGATTGATATATTGGATGACTATATTTGGACACCGGATAATTATCGGAGTGCCGGGGGGTTATCGGAACCCCCAGGGGAACTAATGGGCCACGTGGGCCTTAAGTGGAGAGAGAGGGCCGGCCAAGGCAGGGTCACGCCCCCTCCCCTCTAGTCCGAATTGGACTAGGGAAGAGGGGGTGGCGCCCCCCTTTCCTTCTCTTCTCTCCCTCTCCTTCCTCCCCCCTTCCTCCTCCTTGTAGGACTATGAAAGGGGAGTCAGGACTAGGAGGAGGACTCCTCTCCTGGAGCGCCCCAAGGGCCGGCCGGCCTTCCCCCTTGCTCGTTTATATATGGGAGCAGGGGGCACCCTAGAACACACAAGTTGATCATTGATACCTTAGCCGTGTGCCGTGCCCCCCTCCACCATAATCCACCTCGGCCATATCGTTGTAGTGTTTAGGCGAAGCCCTGCGCCGGTAGCTTCATCATCACCGTCATCACGCCGTCGTGCTGACGAAGCTCTCTCTCGACACTCAGCTGGATCGAGAGTTCGTAGGACGTCACCGAGCCGAATGTGTGCAGATCACGGAGGTGTCGTACTTTCGGTACTAGGATCGGTTGGATCGTGAAGACGTACGACTAAATCAACCGCGTTGTCATAACGCTTCCGCTTACGGTCTACGAGGGTACATGGACAAAACTCTTCCCCTCTCGTTGCTATGCATCACCATGATACATCTTGTGTGTGCGTAGGATTTTTTTTGAAATTACTGTGTTCCCCAACAATAGGACTCTGACACCCCCGACATCCAAAGCCCCTCTTGGACCTCGCACGCGTCCATCCTCCCATCTTCCTTTGCATCTATTTTCTCTGTTGCCTACGCCGCCGCTCCACCACCTCGGCCGCCCCGCCACACCCTTACTGGAACTCAACGACTCCGTCTCCTCCGGCGCTACACCCGGGGTCTAGGCCACTTCTCCTCCACCGCCATTCCATACCTCTCCTCCGACCGCCGCACATGTACCATCCACCCCTATTATACTCACCATGACCGACAACTGTTCGGTGAAATGTCTGTGCTAATTTTTTCTGTCCCTTCTTCTTTGAGGCAATGGATTCGGATATGGAGTACATATACGAGCACTTTGTTGGGTCGTCCGATGGCTCGATTGACAAGGTGGACTACACATATAAGATGGCGATGGTGCAGATGGTCCATGTAGACGCGGAGCGTGCGGAAGAGCATGTTCTCAATTCCAAGGGATCGGTTAAGGGTCATCAAGTGACCTTTTTTTTAAAGGAGAGGATATAAGCGGCTAGCTTTGGAGGGCTGGCTCCCGCATCAATGTCCGTTGACTGGTCCCGGTCCGCAGATGGATGCGATGTCCGATTTGCGAGTCAACGTTGGAGATGCCCTTAGAACAAAATACTCGATGAGTTCTTTTGCAGTAGGCAATGGGCACTGACGTTGACACTAATCACTAGAATTTTGGCATTAGATAAAGGGTCTTTCTAGGACACATCTAGATGTGACATAATTATGTCACATCTAAGATGACCTCACCCTATTTGTAGCCCTCCTGT